TAAAAGAATTTGTTTTTTCGATCTTGCACACCTTAGGTCGATATTTATGGACGGCCGCTCCTAAATCGTTTCCCTAGGGGGCAAAATCAGCAGCATTTTTCAGATGGTAAAACGTGTTAACGAAGAAAACTGTGTGAACTAATAATGTGTCAATAGTAATCAATGATCGCTGATTTCGAATGAAAAGCGGCATGCAAAATTGGATCAGACCAATGCGATAAATCCGTGTACGCGACTGTGATATTACACATTATTTTTGAAGTGTCTTCACACCAACAAGGGATAACTAATGATTCGCTAGGTATAAATTGAACTCAAAACGGTCGCTCAAAGCTTTTGTCGCCGTTAGTCCTCCAGAACGATGATAATATCTTTCTTCGTGCTACTTTCGGTGGACAAATTCTGAAACTAACACAGCGGTTATCCGCTTTGAACTTGAAAATGGAGTATTGCAACAGGGGGGCAATTATTCAATGGAGGGGGTAACATGTATCTTTAATTAGGAGCTAATCACAAAACTCAACAAACCAGTTATGAGCAATGATTTTATAACTTGGTCATTAAAGATGCATTCGGATAGTTGCTCAGAATTATAGCAGTTCGAAAAATTGTTAGTTTCACTACCGCAAAACAACACAAACAAACAATAGCATTATTATCCTGTTTAGGAGATAAAAGCTAATCCTTTTTCAATCTGCCATTGTTCTAGCATCTCACTTAGAACAATAAATTCCGCATACGGCCGGAATTCCGCTAAATTGGAAAACTCGAATTGGTCCAATATAAGCAAACCCCCAGAGACCACTATAACAATCTGGTTCAGTGATAGTATCAAAATAGTGCCTTTCTAACTCATTAATAATTCATGAGCTATTAGTCCAATGAACATTGAACTATTGGGTCACATGATGGGCCTTTATATCCCGATAAAGCACTGATTTATTAATCAGTTTTATTAATCAGTTCTATATCAGGTATAAAGAACTGATGTTCAAGGTCATCAGCGCTTTATCGCAACCCAACACTAGCAAAGGTCTCATTTTTAAATTTGCATCATAGACCTTTGCTAGGTTTTAAATCAGTTTGAATCAATGAGCAGACATGCAGTATAGCATAGACTAGCCGTTCTTACGTGTGGGAACTCAAGCGTGTGTTTTATCGGGGACTAAATATCTCGCCTTCGGCTCGGATCTTTATCACCCGATAAAACACACTCTTTCGCTCTTTATACACTACTTATAATATAGCTTAGATAGTACGCGCGCTCTGGTTGGCTGAAAGCCTAGAAAATTCTATGCTCTATTTTGCCGGTAAAGTTTCGGGTAGCTCCCTGTTAGCGAAAAAAACCAACAACATTACTCTCAATTTCTAGCGGCTTTTAGTCTACAGAGTTGTAGGTAATCTGTATGTGGATTACCCGACATTTTTAAATTGATATGGAAGTCAAAGAAAAATAAAACAAGGAAGATTTTCAAGAAAAAGAGCAAAAAAAAAAAAACTCTCGTTTTGCAGAAGTCTTATATAGGAGCTACAACAACAAGCTTCATCTCAACTACACCAATGTAGAAACCTCTTGGCTCAAGCCCTTGGGGAAGTAAATTCTGCTGACGATCAGCCGCAAGAAGAACTACAAACCTCAGCTTTATCTCTACCAACGACAGTTTTCAGCTCTGTATTGAACTCGGCGACCCAAAACAAGTTCGCTATTCTGACTCAATTTTTGAATCTGTGAATGTTCATGCTCAAGTAAATGTTCATTTTCAGAATTTTTACCAATCTTTAATTTTAACAAAGTTTTAATAAAAAAATAGAGGATTGTTTTGATTATTGTTGTTTTCGGGATTCTAATACAAAAATTAGGTAACACTTAATAGCGGAGCTCCAATAGCAATATAGAAGCTGAAAATGATTATCTAGTACTGCTATTTTAAAGGTAGATGCTTTCTTCTAAGGAATGTGAGCTACAACAGTTTTGTTGACATGCGAGCAAATATTATAACGAGTATGTTTAATTTATGAGAATTTAGTTCGTACTAATATTTACTTCGGTAGACTTTGTTCCGTTGGATGAAGTTAAAATTATAATCTATAAAGGTCAATTGATTAAAAGTAAACTGAAAGCTTCTCGGCAAAAAGTAGTCTACATAAGCTTACAATAATCGATAATCAATAATCGATGTTTGAACCCGGACTACTCGAACTTCACATAATCACAGAAAACTGTATACAAAAATATATCTTTTACCTTCATTATCGAACTCCCGATAAATTATCGTTCAAAGGTCATCTTCAACAGAGCCATACTTGTTTCAAGCATAGGTTTCATCAATTT